GCGCACAGAGTCGTAGCTATCAAGGTCGATCCCACAGGGACTAGGGGTTAATTACCAAATATCACGTTATTTGACTATCTAAACTAATGAGTAAATTAGAAGAGATGAAAATTAAAAGAAATAAAGTAAATAGCTAACCAGGTGGAATTCAAGATAATGAATGGTCAGGATTGGGTTTTCACCACAACTTCGATGCTCAATGATGAATTATTTTAGTTGGTGTCGGTTTAAACTAGAAAGGATGGATTAACCTAAATTAATCTAAAGTCTCTTTCAAAGTCTAAAGATCGTGCCTAATTAATCTCAATTAACCTACTTTCGTGGAATCAAGAATAAATTAAATCATTAAGCTTTATGCTAATCCAAATCGAATTCTCAAAGAATCTAGCCTACTTTCGTGGTTCAAAAACCCTGCTTAATTTCTAGAGGTTCGGTATTAATCTTCACCTTTCAGTTCTTCAATTAATTATCTATGATTGCTAATACAGCGATCAAACGAATCGACAAAATTAAAACACAAGAAATCAAGTATAAAGATTTAAACCTTCACCAAGAACATATATTAATTCATCATCAATCACCAAAAAGTTAGGTTCTTTCCCAATCCTAGACAAAAAATCTACTCACAGAATACATCAAGTAATCATGCAAATCAATCATAAGAAGAAATAAATCAAAAAGAGGAAAGAATTAACCCGTCTTTCAATTGAAATCTTCAAAATTGAAATCTTCAAAATCAAAACTTACAATCCAATCTTGTACAAGAAATTAGTGTCTTCCTTCAATATTTGAGCTCTAAAATAGTTGTTAATTGACGGCTAAAAGAACATAACCAAAGATCCCTAAACCCCAAGCCAAAATATCTATTTATATGTCCCCAAAAAATCTAAAAAAAAATAAGACCCCCGTCATGGGTGTGGTGCGCACCACACCAGGGTGTGGTGGAATCTGTTTTGCTGATTTTGTGCTTGTTTGTCCAGTTTTCGGTATTTTAACTATAATTTTTACGTCCGACCTCGGAATGAGGTGATTCAAGTTGTGCATTGGAAAGCTGTTGAAGAGATCTACAACTTTTGTCTTTTGAGCTTTTCTAAATTCAAATTGTATCATGGTCGAAATTCCAGTTCTTTATACTCGTGCATCCATTTTCTTCACGAACCATGCATTCGAAATCTTGTTGTTGCTTCAAACTCTTGTTAAACTTCTAACGATCATCGAATCTTTTAATCTTGAGCCATTACCTACATATAAGAACACAAACCACAGCAGTATCCTCGATCTAAACACGAAATATGCATTAAATACTTGTAAATCATGCTTGAAACACACTAAGATAATGCATATTTTACGTGTTTATCACATATTATGGAATATGCGTTTCTCGCTTGCAAAAGCGGCCAATAACGCATCACAACAGTGAGTAGCGGGCGATTGTAGGCAAACTCTTTTTTTATCGCTATTTAAAAGTGGTTTGAGATTTTTTTTAAAGTTAAATGCGACCCGCAACAACTACATCTCACCGCCCCCTCTCTTTTCGGCGTACTCCCACCGCCTCCCATACCGTCGGGCACCTCCCTCTGCCACCTCGCTCAACACTTCCTTCTACCTCTCGTCGTGAGCTCCTCCTAGTGTAATCCTCTCACCGCTTAGCTCATCCTCTCGAATATGACAGCTTTTTGACTTTTCCAGTTGTCCTCGGTATTATGTGACGATTACATGTCTATTTCATGTTTAAGATATCTTTAAATCATCAAATACACTTTTAGATTTTCTAAACTTTTTTATAATTTCTTTTTTTAAATATTTATACATATCTGAATTAGGTCTTGATTTGATTTTGCGGTTTTTACCGCTATTTTGCCGCAATAGCCCCAAATACCTTTAGCGACGTCTCACCACTACACGATGCTATCTGCTATCGATAACCTTGGCCTCTGCTTGTTGTGAACTTGCCTACCCGTCTTTCTTATTTTTGCGTCGATTTTCTTCCTCCAGAACGACTACAACGTTGTTGAAGACTAGATTGTCTGTAAGGATGTTTGTTAGGTTGATAATGAGCTGATTATACGAGTCAAGTAGGTTCTAAAGTAGAAGTTCTGCATGTGTTCAATCACACCGATTGTATGCCTCAACGTTGTGAGTTGGGAGAACAGTGTATTTAGGGCAATTATGTAGTCGGTCATCGATGTAGATTCCGTCATCCTCAGAGTGTAAAGTCTTCTTTTTAATAAAATTTTGTTGTGCAGGGATTTGACCTCATGTAGCTTTGTTAGAGTATCCCAGATTTTCTTTGCTATCTTCTTCTCTTCTATGCTTAACATCACCCTGTCTGCTAATGTCAGATGGAGATTTACAATCACATTTTCGTCCATCTCGTTCCACTTCTTATCATCTGTGATGTCGTTTGACATTGCATCAATGACCGCTAGACAATTATCTTTTCTCAAGATAGCCTTTATCTTCAACTTTCACGGTAAGAAATTACTCCCGTTGAATTTTTCAATCTCGAACTTCGCCGCCATTGCTTCTATCATGATTAGTAACTTCTACTATTCTCATGAACAGTAATCATACTCGTGAATAGTAACTATACTTGTAAACAATACCGTACGTTTGAATAGTATCGTACTTGTAAATAGTATCCAGTACCTTCAAAGGTAAATAATAATCTGGCTTATTTTTTAATATGGAGCATCCACATTTCGTGGGAGCCACAGAGCATACGATAAGCAGATACACGCATCCTAAACTAGACTCTAATACCACTTATAAGAAAAATCAAGGCCCACTAGAGCAGGATCGCAGCGAATAGTAGTACAAAAGTAATAAAGTGAACGTATATATTTTAACGTGGAAAACTTCCTAAAGTATTTGGGGTAAAAACCACGGGCAAGAATAGAAGAATTCACTATGAGAAAATTTAGGAGTTACAATATCTCTTTATAAGGAGAAACTCTCTCTAATTCTTGCTCTCACTCTTCTATATGTGGAGATTGGAATTTGTTGTTAGGATGTATTTTTTCTGAAGAGTTTTGGGCCTATTTATAGGCAGCTGAAAAATACTATTCCTAATTTTATAATATTTTTTCTTTCTTCTTTCTGTGCAGCTCTTCTTTCGGTGCATTTAATTTGGGGCCGCCACCTTTTTTATTTTCTAAAATTACAGTTGACATATAGTAGTAGAGACCTCCCATGTAAATTCTGCATGCAGTTGGAAACCATGACTGCCTCTAACCTTGCCAAAACTCAGAAATACCAACACGATATTCATTGATCCTCATGGGATGTTCAATAGAACTCTAGGCGTTCTAGGCGTCCTTAATTTAACCGCCGCAAGGAATATAAGAGAAAATGAGAAATTGGCTCATGATATTACCTACAAAAAGACAGTTAGGGGTCATGCTGCCTGCCTTGATAAGAAAGTATGCCTTTGCATCACAAAATTTTATGTACTATTCACACTTACGATTTTCCTTTTATTCAGACTCTTTTGTCCATGACCAGAAAAACACAACTGTATTCCTTTTGAGCTTCATATAATTCGTGTCTTTTTTAAAGAAGTCATGAATATTCAGACTATATTGACCACAATGTACATTTGAGCTTGGCCTATTGATGCAACAAATTGTGCATGGGAGCAAGTGTTTAAATATGGAAATAAAGGGTAAATTTGAAAGGATCACAACTTTCAGATGCATCTTATTTTCATGACTGTTTTAGGCAAACAACATCTCATACAAATGCTTGTAGTTGGAGAACCCTAACACCTTGTTAGGATGGAGGTTAATGGATGGAAGTTAAAGTGAAATTTCAATTGCACCTTGTTTCAATTGCACCTTGTTTGGGAGTTTTTTTTTGAGGGTTAGAAGATATAATGGAAGGTTAAATTTCCTTCCATTTTCCTCCCCTCTAATTTAGGGGGTAGAGGGTGGAATGATAACCAATGTAAAATTTTACAATGTGATAATACAATTATACCCTTATGACATTAAAATCAATGGCTAAAATATACTCCCATTCAATGTGTAAGCGTATTTATTAACTTCATACATATTCACTTTACTTCCCTCCTCTTTATTAGAACTCCCAAACAAGGTAAAACAAATTTACTTCCGTTCCCCTTACTAAACTCCCAAACAACATTTTATCTTTTCGCTTCCATTCTCTACATTTTCTTTCCATTATTTAACTTTCCGTCCCTTTCCTTAGTAAACTCCCAAACAAATTGGAAAGTTGGTGTGCGCACTTCTTCTGATAAGGCACTCATTATCGCTTCTTTTAACATGTATTGTGTTTTTCTTTAGCTCCCTTCTTGTTTTAACTTAATCAATTTCTGACTTGTATTTATATGAACTTTTGTCAATCCTCGATTGATATGTAACTATCCTTCTCGAGCTTTCTATGTTTGGAATGGTTAATGCAAGTTGTTTGATGTCTCTTTTAGTCTTTTGGAATTCCCTACAATAACTGGAACATTTTTCTTTTGCATTGGTGCATATTTTGCGTATCCATGCCGTATATGCAATACCATCTGATTGTTATTTGTCAGGTCCTTACAAGTGCCCACAACTCAATGTTGCATTTCTCTATAACTTATATTGCTGAAATCGTTGGCCTGCACAGAATCCTTCTATATAAGATTGCTTTTAGCATAAGACATGTATAAATTCACATGCAAAAGCAACAATTATGTGGTTTATGTTATAATATAGCAATCACATTACTTTTTCCATTCATGTTGTATTTATAGTAGTTATGAATGTCACTCTCTAACATCCTTATTTTCTAATTCTTTGATATTTTATACGAATTTCTATAATGCTTCATGGAGTATCCAATGGCTTTGCTCGTGCATAATGTATTGTGCTTATAAAGTTGACGTCAAATAAATCTGTGTTTTTCCATTTTAAGCGTTGCGCTTGTTTTTTTTTTTGTTATTCCTGTTATATTTGATGTACAAACTTGTAGCTTCTTGAGTATTTATCTACTCTTACTTTCAGAGAAAAACCGGAGGATTAGTTGTCTGGAGATCTGGGAGTATCATAATCCTGTATAGAGGGCCTGATTATAAATACCCTTACTTCAGCAATGAGGATCCCAACATGATTGATGTAGCCCCCACAGATCAAGACAAATACCCTCTGTCCACATCTTCACCTGATTCATTAGGTGCATTGCCCAATAATTTACCTCATTCTTCGTTAATCAGTGGTGTAGGCTCTCCTAATAAAGTTCGCCTGCAACTGCCAGGCGAAGTACAATTGGAAGAAGAAACTGATCAATTATTAGATGGATTGGGTCCACGATTCGATGATTGGTGGGGTTACGATCCCTTACCTGTTGATGCTGATCTATTACCAGCTATTGTTCCTGGTTTTCGCAAACCTTTCAGGCTTCTTCCATTTGGTGTAAAGCCCAAACTAACAGATCGGGAGATGACCATATTACGAAGGCTTAGTCGGCCCTTACCATGCCATTTTGCACTTGGTTTGATATAAACTCTTACTTTTATGCTGATATATTAACTTGCTTTTTGTAGTTTGTTTTCACTTCAACTTGTGTTTCTCAGGAAGAAATAGGAACCTTCAGGGGTTGGCTGTTTCTATGATTAAATTATGGGAAAAATGCGAGGTTGCCAAAATTGCAGTTAAGAGAGGAGTACAGAATACCAATAGTGAGATAATGGTTGAAGAGTTAAAGGTAGGTTCACTTACTTCTATTATTTTGTATTTACTGATATTGCTATTTGTTGATCTGTTTAAACATTCATGTCTCACAATTATCATTATCTTGAGTTTTTCCACCAAAAATGGGGTCAGCTAAAAGGCTTTAGAAAAGTTTTGGAGAAACTTTATGGCTGACTGTCAACCTAAAATCAATCTTCTAAATTGTTGCTCAAGGTCCTGCCCCAAGAAAAGTTCGAATAGGAACCTGACTTTCCTCACATCCTAGCAATCGAATTGTAACAAGTACTACCCAACTCCCCAAAATTCCACAAGACTAAGCAAGATTGTAGAAGAAGGGAACATGAGTTGTGACTATAGGTCATGTTTTCTCCTCATGGGAAAAAACTTCAAATAGATTTTCCTAACCAAATTATTCTTAGCCAATCCAATAAAGCTGAACAAATCCTCTCAATAGGAGAACATCTTGATCCCCTTCGTTTCCAGCATTTCCATGAACTTAGCATGCTTCTTTCTTTCATGCCAGATATGGGAATTTCTTGATCGCTCCAATGATCATGAAAAGATGGGTTATCCCTTTCGCTGGTGGAGACGCTAGAGTGCAGATAGTCAGAAGAGGATCTCCTTCAGCCCGTTAAGAATTGGTTGTGTAAAGTTTGAGTTGCCCTTCTTTTCTGGCCCAGTTACCTTATGTTTGGCCTGATCCTGTTCATATTAAGATGCATCCTACTCCCAAGCTGTGATACCTCGTACCAACCAGTTAAGAATGTTGAATCCTGCTTCTGCATTGAGAAAGATAGCATCCTTAGGTTGGTCTTATAATCTTTTCGTCTTTGGATAATAACAAATAGTCTGAGTATCTTGGTAGAGAGCCTTTGGCAGCTTCATTACGGCCCTTGCTCATCCAATTGTGATTTCTATTGATGTATTGGTTCTTCTTCCTTTTATGTAATTATTTTTGGATTTTTTTTCACATCAGTTTAGGCATTAATGATCTAGGAACAATTATTACTATCCACAAGCTGTTTACTTAGTTGCATGAAAATCCTCGTCGCTATTGACCATGACTTAGCAATCACCTGAACAAAACAAGAAAATAAAAGAAAAACGTATATTTTTCTGCCACACAGGGACTAGATTTGGTGTTTCATTTCGTTCTTTACGTAAAATTGATACCTGTCCATCATAGTTTCATATGAATGCATGGAGAGTTCTAAATTAATGACTATCAGGCAACCTAAGCAGTAAATACTCTCTAACATCAGTGCTTGCATTGTAGCTCGCTTGTACTTACGTGGAGCATCTTACCATATTTGTTGATCTTCAATATGATTGTACCATGCTATGCATGTGGTCAAATTTTTACAAGCATTGTTGTAAAAAGCGACAAATCGTGCCGCTATAGCGCCGCTAATTGCGGTCGTGGTGCTTCACCGCACCGATAAAGGGGATAGCGGGGTGTTTTGGCGGAGAAAGCCGCCTTTTGCTCAAAAAGCGCGAAAAAGCGGGGTTTAGCGCTTAAAAGCGCTAAAAACCACTATAGCAACTTCTTAAATCCCTCCCCGAACCCGACCCGAACCCATTAAACATAAACCCATCTCTCTCTCTCTTTGATTCCCGATTGTGCCCTAGCCGCATGACTTGCGGTTGTCCAGCTTCCACTTTGATTCGCCAAAGTTGTGCCCTAGCCGCATGCGTCTGCCGCCGCGCCCCTCCGCGTCCGAGGCCTCGCACCACCGCCACCCGGAGGTTCCTCCCCGTAAGCTTTGGGCTTGACTTGCCAGCACGAATCTTGAGGCATCTCCTCCTCGGGCTTATGATGTTAGCGGTGTTTGTGGGCGTTTGGGACTCAGGGAAGGCTCGACGAAGGCCGATGAAGGTGGTGGAGATCGACGATGATGACATTTTTCTTTTTCTTTTTCTTTTTTTCTTTTCTTTTTTTGGTGAGATTTAAATGGATTTTTTGTTGTGGGATTTGGATAGGGTAGGGAGATTGTGCGGGTACGTGAGTCATTGGTTGGGGATGATGGACGGTGGAGATTTCGAGGGGATGAGGTTTTGGATACTATGGATTGTGGGCTTTTGGTGTCGTTTCTGTTGGTTTTATTTTGGTTAGGGTGAGAAAAGGGCACATAATTAATTATTGGGATTGTGGACGGACATTTGTGAACGTATACTTGAATATTTTATTTTTTATGCCAAATTTCTAGTAGTTAATATAATGATGATGTTACTAATCAATGTTTTTTTATTGTTGAGCATTTTAATATTAGAGACTTGAAAGTTAAAGAAATGAGACAAATAACGGTCTTTTTGATAAACAGTTCCGTTTTTTATTCTTTATAATTATAATTATAGTACTTGGTTAATATTATGTAATTATTACACATCTATTTCATGTTTAGGCATCAAGTATGCATTTGTAGAATTTTTAGATTGTTTATATGATTTTACTTATTATTTAGAATATTTAAATATATTTATATTTGACCGCTATTTGACTATGCGCTATTTGCCGCGATAGCCCCAAATAGCCTTAGCGGTACCTCACCGCAACGCGACGCTATCCACTATCAGCAACCTTGTTTACGAGTTCTGCTTTGCAAGCAGCTCTAGAGTAGAGTGTGTAAGTCCTCAAATTAGTTTGCTGAAATATCTTTTGCTACCCCTACGGCATTATTTTAGGGACATAATGATCATCCAGGAACACTATAAGTGACGAGTCAAAGTATCTTGTATCTTCACTTTTCACAGTTAAGGACAAACACTAATTATAACCTACTTTAAGAGGTAGCAACGTATAAATTTGTGTTAATCACTCTTATAATGGGATATCTAAGATAAATCACATGGTATCGCTGAAAATGTATCTGTATTATGATATGAAAGGCTCAGCATATGAAAAATTGGGTTTCCCAGCATTTCACATGTATAAATCTAGATCTCTACTTGTTTCGATGCATGCAAAAATGTTCATCTCCATTTGCTAAAGGACGAACGAAAGAACAACAAAGTGCATTAAGTCATTTGGAGTCTTGAACACAGATCACGATATGTTATAACTGTTTCACTCTTCAGTTTTGATCTCATATCATGAAATATCAACATGGGTGTAGTTTTTTCAAATTCGTGAGACACATGTTCATGATGGTGTCACTTCTGCAGAAATTGACTGGGGGAGTTCTTCTTTCAAGGGATTCGGAATTCATTGTGTTTTATAGAGGGAAAGACTTTCTGCCGTCTGCAGTTTCCACTGCAATAGAAGAGCGGAGAAATTCTGAAGTTAGTAGACAGAAACAGGTCACTCATGGTTCTTCCATGGACGCTACAGGCATCCCTCTGTTGAAGGTCGCAAGACCTGCTTCTGTTGACAAACTCCTGAATTCAACTAGAGAAATAAGACCTATTACAATCAAAAGTAGACAGAAACCAGCAAGTTTAGTTATCAAACGCATGGAGACCAAGTTGATGCAGGTGTCTTCTGACTTCTCTTTCATGGATTAATCAATTTGAATATCAACCTTTTTACATACAGTAATTGATGTTTGCTTATAATCTTCTCTATAACAGGCCTTAGAAAAGAAGGAAAAAGCAGAAAAACTTTTGGCGACACTGGAGGAATCAGTTGAAACTTCTGGAGTAGAATCTGACAAGGAGACCATAACTAAAGAAGAGAGATACATGCTGCGGAAAGTAGGGTTGAGGATGAAACCGTTTTTGCTGCTTGGTAACAGTTCTACTTTTGCAATATAAATATAGCAATATAATATGTATAAAAAATCTTCTACCCTCGAAATAGCTGGTCCTTAGACTGACCTTAAATTACAGAACAATGAGTCTGGTCATCTGCCTATTACGTCTTTTCATGATGCTAAGCTTTAGATGAGCTTCCAATGTGTAGTATGCCATACATATTTGCTCTTGTTGCATGTGATATAATCGTGTCATATTCCTCAAACTTCATTTTTAGTTCTATTCTAAGTTGGCCTTCAATTGTATAACTAGGTAGAAGAGGAGTTTTTGATGGAACAGTTGAGAATATGCACCTTCACTGGAAATATCGGGAACTTGTAAAAATAATATCGAAAGATTGGTCCATTGAACGTGTTGAAAGTGCTGCTAGGATGCTAGAGGCTGAAAGTGGCGGTATATTGGTAGCTGTGGAGAGAGTGAACAAAGGCCATGCCATAATCATATATCGAGGAAAGAACTATCGCAGACCTTCGGATTTGAGGCCAAAGACACTTTTAAACAAGAAGGAAGCAATGAAGCGTTCTCTAGAGGCTCAGCGTTGTGCGGTAAGCACACTATTCTCATTGTAACTGTGATCTTCTTACATGGGATTTCTTATATAAATCTCAAAGTTTTCTTGTTTGTAGTCTTTGAAACTTCACGTGTTGAGCCTTTCCAGAAATATTGACCATTTACGGGATCAGATGGTGAGCTT